GGCCACTATTTGCTTACAGCAATCAGGAGAAAAACCTTCAAATATAAAGAAAAGAAGTTCAAGTAACAATACTATTCTGCACCTGGGCAGCTAGGTGGCATAGTAGATAAAATACCAGGCCTGGAGTCAGGAAAACCTGAGTTCAAATCCATCCCTAGACACTTACTAGCTGTGTGACCCTGTGCAAGTCAAACACCTCAGTTTCTTCATCTGTAAAATGAGTTGGAGAAGGAAATGGCAAGCCACTCTAGAAAATCCCAAATGAGGGTCATGAAGAGTCAGACGTGACTGAAAGAACTCAACAACAATTCTGCACCCACCAGAAGACCTAATAGGAGGGAACAGAATGTGTTCCAAAGAACAGTGGAACTCAGGATATAGCCCAGAAGGACGAACCTGCAAATGTGAGTTTAACTATATGTGAAACAAGGTGGATGTTCAATGAAAGAGGTAATTGAAAAATATTTAGAAAGAAAACCAGAACTGAAGAGATTATTTGCATCTCAGACAACCTCAAACAATAAAAATGCAGGAGAAGTAATTAAATGCAGCAGTCAGCAGTCACAGAGTGACAGCAGAGATTGTACAGAAACTTTTCTAAATGTGTACCAAGAGATGGGTGAAGGCAGAAGTCTGCTGGAGGTAATAGTGAAGAGGTGGGCATGGGCATTATAGACAGAACCTCACAACACCCTGACTACAGGTGAATCTTTTTTTTTTTGTGGGACTATGTGGGAGAGTACCTGAAAGGGGGAGCAATGGAGCAAGAGATAGAGAGACATGTGTGATGTTCCAGGGTCAAACTGGGCTAGCAATGAGGGCAAGGTAACCTCTGTGGTCTCATAAAAAGAATTGCCCACAGGGAAGGGAGTGAGGAAAAGGGGAGGGGTGGGGAGGAAGAAGGCCTTGCCTTGGTGTTGAGAGAGGGTTCCTCTGATGAATGCTCCTATGGGAGAAGAAAAATGGTCTGTGAAGGGAGATGGGGACCTTGTGCTGGGTGTCTCCTGGGAGATGTGGTGCTTGAAAAGTCTATTTGTCCTACTTTGGGGGAAAGGGAGTTGGAACCCTGGATCCAGGGAAGAGATTTTGAGGCAAATGGATTAAAAAAAAAAAAGTAACCAGAACAAGCGCTGTGACCAACCCTTTTGTGCTTAACATCTCCAAGCTGAAGTAAGCAGACATACTATATATTGCTGGCCTATAAACTCCAACCTTTCCTGCCCAAGTATATGTTGCCAGAACTTTCAGCTGTCTAGTATGGCCTTCACATTCCCAGAACCCTTCTATATTAAGCATAAAAGAGTACATAATGGTGGGTAAACTGTAAAACACTATCTACCTATAAGCTGTTGTTTTTTAAGGGGAAGGAGAAGTATATTTTCAAAATCCATCAGACCACACTTAAATCAGGGATCCTCATTTGTAAAGGTTTGCAGTTAAGTGATGGGGGATGGGAGAACGCCATTGAACGAAAATGTCATTTATGAGAAATTTTATGGCTTCATCTGCTCACATTGGCCCTATATACCAAGAGCAAAGGAGCCTCTTTGAATATATACAACAGACTTGGCTGCAGAAACCAACTGATATGGCAGCCTTTTATGACAAGGGGCAAAAGCTTAAAATTCTGTGTATACGGGTACTAAAGAAATGCATTTTGATCAGGCATTATTGCTTATTGCCACAAAGTGAATATCTCAGAGTTAATGACCCACAGTTGTAGTCTTATCAGGCATCTTAATTCCTGATTTTCTCACAGTTTTCTGTGTAGAGTTTGTTACTATAATATACTTAAGTAATACCCAAAGCATAAACTGCGTCCTTGCTTTACACCCTCATAATTTTTTTCCCTGAAGATTTGATTTCTTTAATCGGTCTTTGTGTTTTCATTTGCTGTACCCTTAATGTGACTGGATACATTGTTCCTTTGTATTTTCATTGGGCTTTCTCAGACTGGTGTCCTCCTTCCTAAGATATAGAAGAAGTCATTTGGTTACAGGGTTGGGGTCTGTCTTGCTCAAGGTATGTTATAGCATCTCCGCTAGGCTGACTTGTTGGTTTGATTGGTTGGTGAGGTTTTTTGTTTTGTTTTGTTTTTTTCTACGTTGTTTAAAGCTCACCTCAGGTATGGGGATAGACAGATTATTGTCCTCACTAGGGAAATATTTATGCTGTAAGAAGTCAAATTGTAACTTTGATTTTTGAAAAAATGGTTATTCAGCCTCACTTCTTCATTGCAGTTTAGCCAGTACTGGGACCAAATGCAGCAAAAGCATTTATCAATTCATAACATTCTAAGTAAACAATTCGCGTTCATTTGACATGTCAGGAAGTGATGAATATGAAATCACACTGAATTTACTGAGCTTGTTTAACAAGAGAGTTTATTACTAATGGTCTGTAAGGGAATCTCCATAATACATAGAGACACTACTGTTTCGATAACGATTTTCACAAATAACATCATAGGTCTCCACTGATCACAGATGGTAAGGATTTCTGGCTTACTTGTCTGAGAACAGAAAAGCATTATTTTTCCCTGGGAATTAGAGCCAAAGAAAGTGCCCAAGTACCATTTTTGGAATTGTTTCACTGAATTTATTTTCCTTATAAGAAAAATTACAACATGTCCTATTAGAAACCTTGTAGACTGAACAAGGTATTAAAAAAATTACTCTTGCAGTTTCTTCCTTTTTAAAAAAAAAAAGACACTGGGGATAATAGCTGGTATTTGTCTTTCTTTGATATTTGTAAAGCACTTTATATACGTTAATTCATTTGAGTCTTACAACAACACAAGAAGGGAGATGGTATGATCCTTATTTTACAGATGAGGCAACAGGTCATATAAGAGGTTATATGACCTTTCCATGGTCACATTTTTTTTCCAGAGGCAGCATTTGAACCTGTTTTCCTTCCTTCATGCCCAGAATCTATCCAGTCTGTCTGTTCCTTACCGTCTCACCCAATTGCTTCCCATCCCACATATTGATATGATAAAATTAATTCCGAAAGATATATTTTAAAAGTCTAGAAGAGAAATAATATGATATGGATTTAGTTATCTCTGTGCTGATGATTTTCATATCTGTCTATCCTGCCCTAACCTCTCTGCTGACCTCTAATCTGACATCTCAAACTGAATGTCTGGTAAGCGTCTTATACTCAACATGTCCAAAACAGAATTAATTTTCTTTCTCCCTAAATACTGCCCCCACTCCAAACTTCCCTCTTACTGTTGAAGGCACCATCATCTCCTCAGTCTTCTAAGCTTGCAAAATAAGTGTCATCCAGTATTCCTTACTATCTCTCTCCCCACCATATTCAATCTGTTGCTAGGGCCTGTCACCTTTATAAATTCTCTCAGATAGGTCCCTTTCCCTCCTCTGATGTTTATATCAGTCTGGTGTAGGCCCTCATCATCTCATGCTTGGACTGTTGCCATAGCTTGCTGATGGGTTTGCCTGCCTCAAGTCTCTCTTTATTCCAGTCTGTCCTACATTCAACCACCAAAATGATTTTCCTAAAGCACAAGTGGGACCATGTTCCTTCCTCTTTCTCTCTCTCTCTCTCTCTCTCTCTCTCTCTCTCTCTCTCTCTCTCTCTCTCACACACACACACACACACACACACACACACGCATGCACGCACGCACACCAATCAATCAACAAACTCCAGTGGCCCCCGATTACCTCCAGGATCAAATACAAAATCCACTATTTGGTGTTCAGAGCCCTTTGTAACCTAATGCCAGCACCACCTTTCCTTCCAATCTTCTTACCCTTTACTTGCTGCCATATGCTCTTCAGTCCGCTGACACTTGCCTCCTTTCTGTTCCTTAAACAAAATGCTCTGTCTCTTGATTCTGGGTATTTTCTCTGGTTATCTCCCATGCCTGGAATGTTCTCCTTCCTCATCTTTGCCCCCTGGCTTCCTTCAAATCCCAACTGAAATCTCATCTTCTACAAGAAGACTTATCCAACTCCTCTTAATTCTAGTGCACCTTCCCTCTTGATTATATCCCATTTATCCTATGTATAGCTTATTTGTGCATATTAATTTGCTTATTGTCTTCCCCCTTTAGATTGTGCCCCCCTTGAGGGCAAGGACTGTCTTTTGCCTCCTTTTGTGTCCCCAGAACTTAAAATAGTACCTGGCACATAGTAGGTGCTTAATAAACCTTAATTGACTGATAGTATATAAGAAATTCTGAATATTTCACCAAAAAAGAAAGAATTGGTTAGTCTTCAAATCTCTAAAGGAAAACTAGAAAGAAAGAACATGTGTTGCAGGCAAATCTATAGATCTGACTAATCATTAGGATTTGTTCAACTATTATGTTATAGTCCAAAAACAACAAATTAATTGTGCACCTTTCTAATGATCCAACTGATATGGGACAATCTGGAATCGTCCTAATGGAGGGGTTCTTGTAACCTAGGGCCTTGAACTTTTTTTATATTTTAATATCTGTATTTCATTATAATTGACTTTCTTTGTAATCCTGTGTATGTTATTTTATGTACTTAAAAATGTTGTTCTGAGGTGGAGCCCATAGGCTTCACCAGATTGCTAGAGAGGTCCATGTCACAAAAAAGGTTAAGATACCCCCCTATCTAGAGGAACCAAGCTGCAACAGAGTAAAAGATCATGGGGGAAACTGGGTTATCCTTACTTATTATATAGGGTAGCTAATGCAGAAGAGAGGGAAATCTTAACCTTTCAAAAGCAATACTCAAGTCAACACATTTAATAATAAATCAACTTTCAAATACAGTGTTAAAGCTTTAAAATCCAAGGTTTAATCTTATCACAATTTCAATAAGTGCTTTTGGATTAGAGATGTCTTTATTTTCTGTTAGAATAAACTGAATAGGAATATTGGGCCACCCTAAGGCTCCAACCCCTAGAAGCAGTTAACCCTCTTTATAATGGACCTGCTGGTTATAGTTTTATAGGCATTATAAAAGCCCCCTAATCCAATAAAATATTTCCCCTACCTGCTCAGTCTTGAAATTTCCTTAACAAGAAGCAAAGCATTTATTCAGTGTTTCAACAGGAAGTTTAAAATGCACAGATACCTGGAAGAAATAACAGCGACTTAAATTCACACCGAAACATAGATCACTTCTACCCTGCAGGAAAAATAGGTTATGATTAGGGAGAAGGGGGAGTGGACATAGGAAGAGGCAAAGTTTTGAATGGTACTATTGCAAAATTTTGTCTACAGACAAAAAACATATCTTCTACCTTACCCCGAATTTCCAATTAATTAAATGCATTAGTGCCAAAGCATTTGCTTTGTCCTGCTTATTTTAAGAACATTTTTATAGCTTTGGAGAGGTATATTTTAGATCCTTTTTGATTGTAGTTGATTTTGTAATCTATAAATTTTCTAGTTCTTAAATTATTTGCTATATTTTCCCAATCTTAATGGGTAGATTATATTCAGCAAATATTTATTAAGCATCTACTCTATACAAAGCATTATGGGAGCTACCATATATAAATAGAAACTGGACCTTCAGAGACTTTAAAGTCTAGTAGGGGAGATAAGATTTGTACACATATCAATCTAATAAAAATTCTAACATAAGTGCTTAAGGAGAAGTACAAAGAAAATGCTGTGAGGCGTCTGAGAAGAAAGATTTTCTAGCAAGGGGGAGATCAGGAAAGGCTTCAATAAATGGAGGCAGTGGGACCTTAGCCTTGTCTCAGATCGTGAACATTATTATGCCAGGAGGCAAAACATGGCAAGGGGTGGAGAAGGAAGAAGACAGATTAGAAAGCAGTATAGTGGAAGAAAGTATACAGAAGAGGGGAACAGATGATAGTCAAATGTGGCTAGAACATAGAATATGTGGAAAGCAGTATAAGATGATGGGGGCTTGGAGCAAAATTGCAGAGGCCTTGAGTGTCAGGATAAGGCATATATAGTTACATACTTTCTGTGTGTATGTGTATATTTCATATAATGAATCTTGCTTCTTTAAGTCAATAATGGAAAGTATTTTGTTGCCTATATTTCAGTGACAGTGTAGTACTGTGTTATTAGTAGTGACAAGGGAATTCTATTTTGAAAATTAGCTCAACTACCTGGAGGTAAATTGGCAGCCATAAACCACCCAGAGCTCACCCAAATGTTTCAAGACTGTTGTAGCATTGCTCTTTAGCCGTAAAATTCTAGGTGGTGCCTCTAGGCCTCCCTTCTCAAGCTTTCTTTTTAAACCTAAAGGGAAAATGACCAAGTTGTTTTCTTACTTTTGTCAGGCAAGGGTTAACTAAGAATGCCTTGCTTCTTCTAACAATTTTATAGTTCATTTCATTCCTTACATCCATTAATTATTTGGGGATTTTAAAAACATTTTCTGTATCTGGATGGCTACATTCATATATTTGATAACACAAGAGTAACCAGATATATCTACATAATTGTAGAATAAGAGGAGTTTTTCTTAGCTGTGTAGAAAGCAATAAACTAATAATAGATAGGAAATGCTTTTTTTCTAGGATGACTGCTTGCAGGAAGAAAATGTGGTGACAGAAGTCATGAAAAGTAAATTTGAATTAGTGTCCTTTAGGGAACTACCATAGAAATATAATTTATAAGATAATCAAGAATGTAAATAGATTCTCTATGAATTTCTCTTCCGATTGCTAACATGTATTTGCCTGACTAAAAAAAAAAAACAAGCCATGAATACATTTCAATAGAGAATCAACAGAAACTAGATGTAGGCATATAATATCAAAGAAGGTGGAATAAAATACTTCTATTTCAATAATAGCATACTAAATTAACAGCCAAATGAAGCTTACCCTCTACTTCCTTATCTTAAGGAGACATCATACCATAGTGGTTCCCTAACCAGAACACATTATGGTATATCAATAACAAAAACATTATAAATCATCAAAAATGAACTTAAGTACCTTCTGCGTGCAATGCATTGTGCTAAGTGCTGGAGGAAATGTAAATGCTGCCCTTAAAAAGTTTACATTCTAGCAGATCACTTATGGATGATGATGAAACTCTTCCAGATAAGATGTCAAGAAGATTAAGGCTTATAATACAGTTTTAAAGATAATACTTCTTAAAACATGTAAGTATAATGCTTCTTAAATGCACAAGTAGTATCAAAAATTTGCCCCAAGCTCAAACTTTTTGATAATAATAAAATAATCTCTGCTCCCTTTCCTTAAAAATGTAATAGTTATGGCAATAATAGACATTATCCATTAGTAAGTAATGTATATTAAACCTTTAGCCTTCTCCATAAAAAACCATTGTTCTCCAACACCTTTATGAAACAGGTATAGACTGTTTCTTAAGGGTAAAGGGACAGGGACAGCTAGGTGGCACAGTGGATAGAGCACCGGCCCTGGATTCAAGAGGACCCGAGTTCAAATGTGGCCTCAGACACATAATAATACTTAATATCTGTGTGACCCTGGGCAAGTTACTTAACCCCATTACCTAACCAAAAAATAGAAAAGAGTAAAAGGACATAGGCTTTAAGATGATAGTTAAATCCATGAAAGGTGCTTTCATTGGGTTGCTGGCCAAGGTATATATCTCTTGAGCCATTGCTTGCTTCTTAAAACCTTTGGTCTAGCTGCTAGTCTTGTCCCAAGGGTTGTAGAAAAAAGATGAAGCTCCAATGAGGATGAGCTGGAAGGTTCACACAAGCCAATTTTGTTGTTGTTGTGGAGAGAATATGTGGTTCATTTAATTTACATCTGCTAAGTTCAGGTTTTAAGTAGTTTGGAAGGAAGGAGCCTTAAATATGTGTGGAAAATAATAGTTGTGTGTCTGTATGTGTGTTTTTAACAGCACATTTTATTATGAGGAAATTTATAGTAGTAGGGTTTTTTTTGGGGGGTAGGGGTATTTATTTTGTGGCTTTCCTATCTAAATGCAACACTCAGAAGGCTTTTGGTAGGACATAACACATTGGAATACATCCATACTTATTAGGCAAATGGTAGGCTGAAATTTGTCTTCCACCCCAGTCCTTTAACATCAATAATATCATCTTCATGGAAACCATTTAATAAGCATCTATGTCCTTGCTGTCATAATACATTTTTCCAAATGGTTTCTCTATTACTGCCTGCAAAATTTGCTAAAGATGCTAAAGGTTTGTGATTTATTTCTTTGCCAACAGGAATCTACAGGCAGAATATGATCGACTGAAGCAGCAGCATGAACACAAAGGCCTGTCCCCACTGCCATCCCCTCCTGAGATGATGCCCATCTCTCCCCAGAGTCCCCGGGATGCTGAGCTCATTGCAGAAGCCAAGCTCCTGCGCCAGCACAAAGGCCGCCTGGAAGCCAGGATGCAGATTCTGGAGGATCATAATAAGCAGCTGGAGTCACAGCTGCACAGACTGAGACAGCTACTGGAACAAGTGAGACCCAAATTTAACACTTAAAATTTTTATGGAGGCTTTATTCCCCTCGACCAAGCAAAGCTAAAAAGCTTATCAAAGTTGTGATCAAATCAGATTTGTCAGATATCAAACCAAGAAATGTTTTCTGAGCACCTCTTATGTGACTAGCTCTATAGGCTATCCAAGAAGCAGAAGATATAGACCATTTCCATGAGGAGCTTAGAATCATAGTTGAAGCACAAAGTGTATATTGCATGAAATAATTTATGAACCAGGTGGTATGTAATAAAGTCTGGTAAAGAAAATGGGTACAGGGGGCAGCTAGGTGGTGCAGTGGATAGAGCACCAGCCCTGAAGTCAGGAGGACCTGAGTTCAAATCCAGCCTCAGACCAAACACTTGACAGTTACTAGCTGTGTGACCCTAGGCAAGTCACTTAACCCCAATTGCCTAGAAATAAGAAAAAAAAATGGGAACAAAAGGAAATTGGGCAAGCAGAGCTCATTATTATTTGTATTTGCCAAGAGAGATTTTGAGGAGGGAGTAAGAGACTTGAGTCAGTCTATGAGAGTTGAGAAGGCTGAGAGATACATCATGAAGGTAGGAGTGAGCATGACATGGGAGCCTAGAGATCATTCTGAATGGAGTAGAAATTTATGTTGGGTAGTAGTGGTTATTAATATTTTTTACCTCAACACACTGTGTATTCAGTGAGTTCACTTATGGGAGTCTAACTCTCCTAAAAAGCTTATCTCCATCTGACACAAAACTCTCACTGAGATCAAAGGTTTTGTGAGTGTGAAGATAAAAGTATTAGCATGAAAACTTTTCATGCATTTCCTAGACCACTTCAGCATTGTACTCTAGTTTGAAATGTGCCAAACATAAAGGCTTTTGTATCTGAAGTGACAGCTTAACCTCTGATTTTGGTAGTTTATTCCTAAGTTTTATTCCTGTTTGTGTGTTCTCTTGTTTTTTCTGTCTTTTAATCCTTTAAAAAAAGAATGTTTAAAAAACTATTCTCAGAGAACACTTATTGTACATCTAGCTGCACATAATCCCTGATCTTTAGGTACTTTAAACCCAAAATAGCCTTGCAGATAAAGCCTCATATCTTATCAGTTGACAAAATAGGCAATACCATTGTTGACATATTTTCTTTTTTACTGTGAACACTTCCTTGGCCCTTCTTGGGTCTTTGGGGCTTCTGGGATATCTCAGTTTACATGATATGTTCCTTTTTAGCTTTATACTTAATCATTTTTATGTATCCTATATACAATTTTCCTGCATTTTACTAACAGAAAAATCCCTGTAAAAGAAGAAAGGCCATGGAGTCTTTTACATCTGGGATAAATTAAATCTTGAGATTAATTTTTATAGTTACTTTTTTAAAAATATAGTTCCTTTTCAAGATCTCGTTTGCTGTCCCTGGCAAAGTAGGAAATCTTGTGTCTATATGTATGTCCATTGCTGGGAAATAATTTTCTTTCCCTTCTCATGCTTCAGCCCCAGGCAGAGGCCAAGGTGAATGGTACCACAATATCCTCTCCTTCCACCTCTTTACAGAGGTCAGACAGCAGTCAGCCAATGCTACTCCGAGTGGTTGGCAGTCAAACTTCAGAAACCATGGGTAAGTACTAGCATTTGTCTTGGGGGAGGTGTGTGTGTGTGTGTGTGTGTGTGTGTGTGTGTGTGTGTGTGTGTGTGGGTGTGTGTGTGTTATACTATGTGTTGAAATACTTCTTCATTAGAAGTAGTAACATTTTGAGTGTTCTAATTTTAATGATCTAACGAGGGATTTTTTCCACAAAGCAGTTTGACTTGGAGAGAACATAAAATCTTACAGAAAAAAAAGTCCTGTCTAGTAAAGCCTCCCATTTGACATAATGAAGAATCTGAGGCTCAGAATGGTTAGGTGACTTGCCACAGGTCACACAGCTCATTAGTAACATAGACAAGTACAAGAACTTGGCTCCCTTGGCTTGCATCCACGCCTGTCCTTTTTTCCTCTTCATCACACTACCCACTTACTTAGGAAATGAAATCTCATTGGTGTAGAAGAGATCGAGGCTATTTCTGACCCTGTGCTTTGTATCTAATATGTGTATGATCTCAGGCAAGCTTTCATATCAGGCCCCAGTTTTTTCATAAATGGCAACATAAACCTAATGTGGACTTTTTTTTTTTTACTAACCCTACAGTTTTATTAGCTAGGGCAGTACCAGTGAGGAAACTCACCCATGCAGATGAGTACCTGCCATGAAACATAGTCTTTTGGGAACTTTAGAGATTAAATGATGTGCCAGTCCTCACCATCTAGCTTGATCTGGAACATACTGTGTAACTTCTTAGGGCTCTGAGCAGCTCTCTCCGCCTGTCAGGTTAGAGACATAAAGATACATCCATGAAGAGGAATTTCCCACATTAATGAAGTTATAGGTTGGGACCCAAAAAGAGTATTAACCATAGCTACAGTACATGCCAAAAAATGTCCAACACTTATGAAAAGTCTATGCCTTCAAGACACTGATGGGATATATATCTGTCTTATTCTACAAATAAAAATTTTTATATTTGAAATAAAGTTTTTATTACATAGCATATTTTATAAGTGGTATTCAGGGTACTTGGTGCTGAGAAACATGAATTATTTAAACCTGATGGCAGTAGGGGAAAAGAGCATACTGGTTGGAACCTACAGTTAGAAGTCTAAGGTACCAGTGTTTTCTGAAATTTCCCCTTGGACAACCAACAGGTGAGTGGCAGAGTACAAAATGAAACTAAAATTTATATAGAGTCTCATAGGTTACCAAGTAATTTCATCATCGTCATCATAACTGAAATTTGTAGAGCTCTTTAAGGTCTGCAATCACTGAAAAAAAATCACATTTTTCCAGACAATAAATTAACTCTGTGTGAAGACTTGCTTTGAGGCTCACAACAACTTTGAGGCAAGTAACATAGGCATTATTATCCCTGATGTTATGGGTGAGGAGGGGGCTAAAACCCAAAAAAGGTTTAAGTGACCTGCCCAAAGAAACACAGCTTGTAAGACCTTAGATGCAAGATTCAACTATGTTATTGTGCCACGTGTGGAACAATATACAAGTTGAACTTCACAACCCCATAAAGAGATGAAAAGTATTATTTTGTATAACCCAAAGAAAAATGAGAGGCAAAGTGAAATGCCAACCCAAATGATAGAGTTGGGATAAAAGAGCTGGGCTTCTGACTCCAACGCTAATGGTCGCGCTAGCAGTAGCACTTGTTTTATGTAGCCTGGGTTGGTTTCCCCTTAAGAGAACTGGGAGTCTGTTCTTGAGGTCATTATTACATTAGTTTGGCTTCTTTGCTTCTGTGGTTCAATCGTGACCCCATTTGGGGTTTTCTTGGCAAAGATACTAGAGTGGTTTGTCATTTCCTTCTCCAACTCATTTTACAGATGAGGAAAACTGAGGCAAACAGGGTTCAATGACTCACCCAGGGTTACATAGCTAGTAAGTGTCTGAGCTCAGATTTGAACTTAGGTCTTCTTGACAGGTGCTCTATCCACTGAACCATACAGCTGCTAGCGTCTTTGCTACCTGAAGCCTAAAAGGCCCAACCTAAAAAAAGTTGGGGTTGAAGAGATCTCTGTAGAAATGCCTTTCTGTTCTGGCATTGTTGATTCTTGTAGTGAACACACAGGTAAAAGAGGGTAGCTGTTTTATCTGATTTACTATCTTTTTTAACCTTAGGAATTATATGCTTTGTGTTCCTTCTTATAGGTAAAGAATTTTTTTATCCCATTTTATGGTCCATAGGTGTTTCATTGTATTCAAACTCTGAGTCTGAATCACCAATGTATCATGAGTTAGGCCTGTCATCAGATAATTATCTTTCTATTTTAGTTATCCTATGCTAGAGATGTCACCTCAACTTGACATTCAGATGACATGTATTTGTAAGTTTACTTGAAAGAAAAACTGCATGTTAGTTATTTTTCCAAGTATATAAACCAACTATCCCAGATAACTTTGCACAAGGAAGGACACAAATAAGTAAACAAATGAAATTAGTGTGTTACTTGCTCTAGGGAATGATTTTTGCAATGCTGGGGTTTGCTGTTTTGTACCCTTAATGTAGGCCAGCTAAGTGTAAGAAAATGTTGTCTATAAATACCAGGTAATCTAATGAAATATCTACTGTTCTTCAAGTATTGCCTGGATTTTAGCAGTGCATGTACATATGAGTATAGAACACATGCTCCAAAAGCTTTAAAACCATGTGAAGATCATGTTCAGTAGTGCATCATGACGGGTCAGTTATCATTTTCAGGTCCTTTCTCTGCCACTTGAGCAATGGTCACCTGGTATTTAGCAGCATGAGTAGGCACTGTAATAGATTGAAGAATTTATATGGTATATCTGTGTGTGAAATGCTTCCCCAAAAGTTATTGGAAAAAAATGTAATTGAAGCTAAAGAAGGTTGCTGGAGAAGTTGATGATAAGGTAATAGCATACCAAGGAGAAAACTGGTTATGAACATAATATATGATTTAAATCAGTGATCCAAAGGAACAGAGATTGTGGGCTTAATCGCTCCATGACAGATTTAATTATTTGCTCATACACAGCTTTTTTTTTCCCCCCAGAAAATAATTTTCTTAGGCTCAGGTTAAAAATACAATAGTGGCAGTAGCACTTAACTTTTTTTTTCTTGTAGAGCTATAGAACTCAACAAAACTACTTTTTTTTTAATCTAAGTTATATGTAGTCAGTGATTACTTTGGGAGAAGGTGAATAAGGCAGGCATGGTACTTCCCCTTCAGCATGGCCTGAAGCCATTTCATCTTTGAGGAGACTTACCTAAAGATTTTCCCTATTGGCAATCTGTCCCATTTTCTTTTTTCTCTTACTTCAAACATTATTTATCCTACTTTCTATTAAATTACTAGCTAACATTCAGACTTGTATTTCATAATTAGAAATATTCATCTTTTAACTGTTTCATTGTGAAATCCTTCATTAAAACAAGTTGATAAGAGAAAGATTTTTTTAGTAGAATCATCTGGAGATTTTAATAGGATTTCCATTTAATAGAGAAGGTGCCCTAGCATGGCTGGAGAGCTGGCTACAGAACCAAGTAGACCTGAGGTCAAGACCTACCTCTAAATTAAGCTTCCTCATTCTAGAGAAAGCACAGGTTTATGTCTAGTGCCTATTCCTATCCATTCTTTTTACCTAATCCCCAAAATTTCTGGTCGCATGATCAATAGATTTGGAGTTAGAAGAGACCTTAATGGCCATTTCGTTGACCTTATCTAGTCATATAGGGACCTTAGAGGTTGAAGAACCACCGCATTTTGTGATCCTGCATCTTTCAGTCTTCTGGATATTGTCATCTTGCCTATTTATGGGACCTTAGGACTCTTGGACTTTGCTACCCACTTTGCCGCTTAATTTTCTTTTCTGTGTTATGTCCACCTATTAGAGTTTGATCCCCTTAAGAATGGAGCCTGTCTCAATTTTCTAGTCATATCCACAGCACTTAGCAAGCACGTAACAAATGCCTTTTCATATTCAGTTCAAAACTGATTCATGATAGGGTGGGTTAGAGGGAGCAGGAAGTGGGCAAGTATGTATATAGTTAACCTATGAATTCCCAGGAATGTTTAAGAAATTAAAAAAACAAACTAAAGTTGATGATTGGAAACTTTTAATTTTTAAAGCATTTTCACTCTATTGAATATGCAGGTATTGTCTAGAATGACATTTTAAAAATATTTTTCAGAATATACACTGAAAGTTTAACCTTATAGAAATGGACTTTTAGCGAATTGGTCTTTTTGAAATGAATAGAACTTCATATTTGTAACTCCCTGGTCCCAAACGCGCAGCTATAAGATGTATCTTATGAATGTGGTCAGTCCACACCATACCTGTGAAGTCTAGTGTGGTGGTTCAGAAGCAAGACTGGAACAAAATGAAATATTCATAAACTATCTACCATTTAAGAAAAAGAAGTTTACATAGCCATAGCACAGAAAAGATGCTTAATAAGGAGACTGCTAATTCATTTGCATGTAGCTTCCCAGGCTCCACATTAGCCATAGAGGCCTATGCTAGGAGGAAAGGATGTGTCAATCCTGAAGACGTCACTGACTCTGTGTGGTGTCTTTTGTGCTTAGGTCACCAGGAAGCTAAGTCAATGATTCTCTGGACCGATTAAGTCTTGAGGATGGTTTCAGTCACATTTAAGGAAAAATAAGCCTAACCTGTGTGGCGTAGATATTCTCCTTATGACGGTGATTGTAATGAAATTTTGCATTTGGAGACTTATCTAGATTTAGAGCTGTAACTTAAAGGTCACTGAGTCCATCCCTTTGATTTTACAGATGAAGGAACTGAGGACCAGAGAGGTCAAGTGATGTGACACACATAATAAGTGGCAGAGCCAGGATTAGATCCAAGTTCCCTGACCGCAAATGCAGTGATTTTTCTGATGTGCTAAAATACATAAATGGACATTATAGTACAAGAAGGCTGGAATTTTAATTTGTACTTTATGTCCTGATAAGATATTTGGAAGATATCTAATGATACAAATATATCAAATCAGACTATATTTTCTATATTTTTTAATCTAGGGAAAAACAATAATAGCTGACATTTATATAATAGTGCTTTGAAGTTTGAAAAGCACTTTCCATCCATCATCTCATTTGAAGTTTACAGCCCCCATGTAAGATATTACTCTATGAATTTTACAAGTGAAACTGACACTAAGAGACATTATTGCCTGTGGTCACACAGCTTATGTATCAGACACATTATTTGAACTGAAGCCTTACTGACTACAAATGTTGCTCTGCTACTTCATGTGGCTTGACAGGATGGAAAGGGGAGGATGGGAGATTTAAACACTTGCAGGGTTGTAGCACTTTGCCTTATAATCGGCCATTACCGGAGGGTGGCCATTACTGGCCACTGCAGCAAATGTTCCATGGCTGTGATATCCTGTCTGTTGAGAAAGGAAGTTCTGAAGCATCAGCTTTCCCCTTGAAAGTTCCCAATTTTCCTACCATCCTCATTCATTAGCTATCTTCTGGCTTCTGACTTAGAATCAGTGCATAAGGGAAACAGGATTGCATCATCTCTACAAAATCAGTGGAACACAATTTCCAGTATGTAGATTCTAAGACATATCACTTAAGGTACCATAAGAAGAAAATGGAACACAAAATTATTAATATTATGTATAGTCAAGGTGAAGAGAGGGCTGTTTTAACTATTTTATCATCATTTTGAAATTTGTAAGATGCCAAATATGTGAAATTACTTTCCAGTTACCTCTCAGCTCTTAGTGTTGTGGAAATAAATATCAGTTTCCTACT